CCCTACATCAACAATGAGGCACTTGAAAGATAGACCACCACCGGTCAGATGGATGCTATTTTATTCCGCTCTCTCACTTAGACGAATTTCTAGTGTTGTTGTATCCTCAGTTGTCTAGATTAGCTTTCATCACCGGATGTTTTCTTCCTTGGGGTGTGTAGTGTTCTGAATATAATAAGCTCTTGTAGGCCAGCCCGCAGGTGCAAGACCGAGTTCAGTTGGTCCATCAGCAATCGCCAAATCTTGGATGTTGTATTGTAGTGCCTGCCTCCAACCTAAGAGCGATGGCTTCCAGCCTAAGAGCGGGGAGCGATACTTCCAAAGAACAGGATCCAGCTTCTGCAAACCCAGATTTCAGAATTTCTGAAAGACTTACAGATGAAGATCTCGGAATCCCTGACCCAGTTCTGGTCCACTGGCCCCTTGAAGATCTGACCCTCCCGGGTCAGATCTTCACCACTGAACCCATCCTGAATGGACTAGATTGGTTGAAATTCAGCATCAGAACAGGGGATGTGTGTGTGTTTCTTTGTTTTGTGAGGCCCTCTTTGGGGAATCGGAATCAGCAACGACTTACAAATACAGCTGGTTATATATATATATACTTCGGTCGTTTGATGTTGTTCTGCCCATCTCGTTAGGAGTCCAGTCACGGCGCAGTCACATACCATACCAAATCCAGATGGATCTTGGGTACGGAGGGCCCTGCAGGTGCAGGGACAGCAGAACGCCACTTACAAGAAAAACTTTGAGTCCTTGGAGAAGTTGGTTCTTGTCATGGCAGAGGAGAGTGCATGTGAAACGCCATGGAACATGCCCATGAGATAGAGTGCATGCCACTGAAATACATGTCTTCACGTGATGTGCCATACTTTGGTGAACGCGATTGTTTTCTGCAGGACCACATATATATATACATATATAGTTCCCAAAAGGGCATGGACTGTGCATGAAGGAAAGTTGAGACCTTCCCAAGGTGACTTTCGGAATAATTGGAGGTTTTTGGGTGGAAACCAGTATACTGGCTGGAAGGCTGAGGCTTCCTGAAGGTGCATGAAGGCGTGTATGACCCGACCTGTAATGGATTTATGTTTCTCTTTGATTTCCTCCTTCCTGCGTGAGAACTTGTTTTTGGGACGTTTGACAGAAGACTTGTGAGGTGGTGCAGAGTTTGATCTTCAGCTATAGGTGTGATCTCGCTTGTCCTTTTGGTGTCCATACATCCTGGATCTGAAGTCGGAGAATCCACCGAGTTGCATGGTTTTCGCCTCGGATTCCTGTGATGAGTTGGAAACCATGAGCATTTGTCGAGTGAGGTTGCTGGTGGACGGTCGAAACATCTCTGAGATCTGCCACGGCCGCATGCCCATTTCATCAGCAAGCAGATGATGCAGCTCCCGTGTATTGATTGCCAGTTACTTCATAGTTGATGCAAGCCCAAATCATTTCAAAAGGGAGTTCCGTTCCATGTAGACTCTTGATTGATAACCTCTCCATTTGGATAGTAAAATAAGCTCCCTATATAGGAGTCTTCTTGGGTTTTGTTAATCAAGCGTCTACAAAGATACATGTAAGCCGCCGTCTTTTGAGGCAAGCATTAAAAAAAACTGTAAACTGGTTCTGGTTTGGCAGAAACATCTGCAGGTGTTGCAGGTGCTTTTGATGTGGGTGTGTATTGAAATAGGGAGACCCCGAACCAATGACATTTGTCAATTTCCCTTACTCCTGAGGGTCTTTTTGGGAGGTCTCTCCCTGTTCTAATACACACCCATCTTATAAGTACAAGACAGGGCGTGCACGTGGTTTCATTGATGTTAAGTTTATAACTCATGTTAAGTACTGCTGTCGAGTACCAGTACTGCGTTCCATCATTCCAAGCTGTTTGATTAGCTGATCCTAATCACCCTCAAAAAGAGCGTTTCCGAGAGCAAACATGGCACGCGTGACCGGCGAGGACGATACGATGGTGCATCCCAAAGAGAGTGAGCACTTTGGTTACTTCAAGGATGGATCTCGCCACTTGAAAAGAATTTCGAAGCATCTGGGTTGACAACGTTGTTGTGTTGTCGCAAACAACCAGAGATTTGCGCTAAAGAAGAGCCCCAGAAGGAGAGTCCGGTGCGTCTTCACTGGGATCGTGTAAATTCCGACGGAAGAGACATTGTGGGTCTGCCTTCCATTGGATTTGAACCACATTGTGGAGAAGGAATCATATGGGTCTGTATTTAATAGGGAGACATCCAATCAATGGGCTTTGGCATATTTGCCTTCTTCCACGGGCATTGCTGGATTGCCCATGTGTGACTCAAGGATGTTTTTGAAATGGTTTTGAGAAACACTCTTGTTGAGGTGAAGAAATACATGGCAACAGCTGTTTCCCTTTAGGTGTTGTATTAGCTCACATAGCTATTTCTGCTATTTCGGTCACGGCGCCCCTCAGGTACCGAGCTGGTGGACATGCGTGACGCGCCATGGTACACCGAGGATTGGTTCGGCCTAAAGAGCTTAGACGTACAGAGCCTTAGCAGCCAAGAAGAAACAGCTGCAGTTGTTGGGGTGCAGCCTCCATGGAGGGCGACTGGTAACAAGAAGATCTAGCTACTTATAGGGACTACTTTCAACACTACCCTACTACTTAGTGACTCTTTGAACATATTCCTTTCGCCATTGCCATGTGGAGGCATGCCTGCGGTGCACTCTTTGTCTGCAGAGAAGTGACATTAGTGACGGAGATCTCCTAATTCAGGTGGTTGCTGGCAATACACAGAGGATACGTGCAGTAACCACGGGCTTTGCTTTATATTGTGTTTGATGGTTTTTACAAATGTTCCTTCTTCCAGGGGGTCTTTGACAGGTCTCCCTATTTTGATGCAGACTAATTCGCAAGTTTGACCGAGGATGGCTTGGGATTGGTTCGTGAAATTCGGTGTGGAAGAAATTGAGAGACCATCACCCTTTAGACTAGCATGATTCATGATTATGGTTTGATGATGGTTTGATTATGTTTGGTTGCTTGCAAAGGCACATAGGATATTGGAAAATTTGGAAAGGTTTGGGAAGCCTCTTCACTATGTGGTTGACCGACTATGTGGTTCACCAACCTGAGTATGCATTTCCCTTGTTACTACAGACGTGTTGGCACTGCAGTTGCATTTAGGCTACTGGGGGGTGACCCTGAACGATTGAATGGATGGGAACAGTTCCTTCGCCTACCACTTGATGGACAGTTTCTGCACTACCCTGGGAACCCACCTGTGGATGTATGGCCGCTTTTGTTTCGGACTGCGCATGTGGTCCGTCAGTGATGGTTTTTCCATATGTCACACGTCACACGTCCACCCACGAGACTTCTCGAGCTTGGTGGAAGTCCAATTCCAAACTTTGGTGGATAGATCTAAACGTACTAGGTGACGGTTTCAGATTTAGTTTTATGTTGAACCTTTACTTTGGATGATGGCGGATTGAACCCACACTAACTAGTATTGTTCAAGTGCGTTGAAAGCACCAAGCAGTACTAGCTTGCGAGCCTGGTTGACCCTTGAAGCTTGACCTCCCCAGTAGGTCGTCGAGCCTTCTCTTCGTATCGATTGGTGGTGACGCTGGTGACCACATGCAAAAGCAAGTATAGATAGGTGCTAAAAGGGAACCCGGATGAAGTCTCAGAAACTCTTTGCAAAAGACTCAAGTAAGAACCAGATGAAGGAAACTGACACTCTTTGCAAAAGACTCAAGTAATGAGAGATCCCCAGAATTTTCTTTGGACAACCATCTCTGGGGTTTCCACCTCAACTCGACTCAGGAAGAAGATTGACTTTCACTCCACTCCTGGAAACCACCTCCGCTTTAAGAAGGCGGGGCGACGACCGATGAACGACACCCGAGACCGGACTTGAGGGGCGGATTGGGGCGGAAGATCCATTGGGAAAGAGCCAATTGGGTGGGGTCAAACCACCATCTGGAGCAATTGGACCCTGATTTGGGTGGTGGGGTAGGTAGATTGGGTAGGTATACACCTTCCTACCTACCCCATTGGGACCAGGGGTCGTAGATCGATTCCGGAAGGTCGTTGTGAAACATCTGGTAGACAATGGCTTGGCTGCACTTGAATGCACGACTCCTCACCACCCCCTTCTGCCAGACTCCAGGAGTTTTTGCTCGAGATGGTGAAACAGTACTTCGTGAGTGAGTCTTCCATGGTGGTTTGATGCGCGAAATGAATGCCTCCGCTGGGCCACACTCCGCGAAGTCAGCCTCGTCGGCCTCAGCCACACCGCGCGGGTCCTGCGATTTTTGGTCGCGGCCCGCAGCTTCGCTTCGTCTCGTGCGCCAGCGAACGCCTGCGCGCAAGACGTTGATCCAACAGATCGTGGCCAAAACGCTTAAGCCGGATGGGTTGCTTGAGTGCTTTTTTACACTCCAAAAGGAAGATACAAGATGTTGATCGGTTGGCCTCGGCCCAGATTTGACTCAGATACTTATTGTTTTTGCATGTGTTTCATATGTTTTCTGAAGCCAATGCTGCTTGGGAGAGCTGCCACTGGAGACTTGGAGGTCTATGTAGGCCCAATGTAGGCAGTACTTGGAGGCTTGGGATCCACCAGATAAGAAGCCGAAGCCTACCTGCGATAGTCTGTGTGGTGGGGTCTACTTGAGGAAGTTGTGTTTAGGAAATCGACAGTTGCCACATGTTGCAACCATTGCTTTGTGAGGAGGTATTTTGGGAGTGTCCTATTACACCTGTCACAGTCGGTAAATAAATATCACTATTTTAGAGAAAGGCCTACAACTGAACCATCATCATCCACTGTTTCTGTTCATGAGATATATACTGACTTACTAATATATGTATATAGGTACTATTACTTAGTTAAGTTAATTGTCGAGCTTACTTTATATGCTTAACTATCACTTAATTAAGTTAAGCTTGTCTATCATAGATTGTTCTATAAAATTATCTTGTTCTGCGACCGCTGCGGGTCCATATAGTTCTTTCCTCGTAGGACCCGGATGATGGAGGATGGTTCCCGGTGCCTTGGTGGGACATGGTGGGACTCGGTACCGACGGTAGGTACCGTGGTACTTGGTGGCCAAGTACGTGGTACGTGGTGTGTTCTTTAAAAGGCATTGTTTGGGGGCTTCTGAAGAGTTATATACTGTATACATGTTCCTGCTGTAACTATGTCCGACGATGTGACATGGTTCATTGTTATGCAAAAACGCGTGGGTGAAAAACCTCAGGCAATAGATTGTGGGCCTGTGGCCATAGATAAGGTTTGCAGACACACTTCTGTGTCACATTCTTGAAAAAAGAGTACATTCTCGATTGTTGTGGCGTGGTGCCAACCAACCAACCAACCAACCAACCAACCCACCAACCAACCCACCAACCAAGCAACCAGCCAACCAACCAACCAACCAAGCAACCAACCAACCAAGCAACCAACCGACCAACCAACCGACCAACCAACCATTGGTTCCTTGTTGTTGGTGAGTTCCTCTCTAAACACACCAACCTGCCCACCGGGCCCCTTTCAGTTTCAGAGCCAAGCAGCTCAGCTGCAGCACCATTTTTCTCCAGTCGAATCGTCGGCCATGCTTTCTGTGGAAGCTCAGCAACTTAAGGATATGAAGCAAAGGCCTTCTGTATCAGCAACTTATAATATCATCAACTTAAGGATTGAGCCAGAATTTCAACTGATACTATAAATGGTCCAGGCTGCCACCACAGCCTGTCGTTGTCATAGACAGTTAGAGCCTCACATCATCAATGACAAAAGGGAAAGACTCAACCCAGCAACCCTCCATGGGGCTCTCCATTGCTAACAGTAAACTTTCACTTCAGTTTGCTTGGACTAGGGCCAGGGTGATTCGAGGTGTTTTTGCACTCGGGAAGGGTGGTTTGGTGGCCACATCCGAGTTTGCCTCGCATTGGGGATGTCTAAGGCTTTGACCTGACGTGACAGAGCGTTTCTTTTTGGAGTGTGCACCCACTGTAACCATCTTGGGATAGTGATCCTATTGAATCCTATTGTAAGCATGTAGTCTTGCCGCGACCAAAAAGTCAAAGGACAACAAACGAGCATGTCAGACATGAAGTCTCAATGATTTGGTGTCTAGTGATTTTGGATTTGTTTGTTTTTGGCCACAAACTTGGGTGAAGCAGAAGCATAGTCAAAAGTCCCCCAGTGTTGACAGATATGGTATGGTCAATGTATTGTTTCATATGTGTTTATCCTAGCACTTGTTTGGATGACAAGACTCCCCCAAAGATGAACATACAATCTGAAAAGCACAGACACTGGTAGAGGTTCATTCTTTTTCAGGGATGTGTCTCCAAATGTTCTAAACTTTATGATTTATGTCCTGGCCACTTTGGCTACGTGGCTGCACGTCTGCTTTGCTGCTACTGCGAGGTGGATGCAGTGTCCTTTCTGGATGAGGAGGAGGTGCCAGTTCGCCATGCGAAAAAACCGGGTGCTGTACCACTGGATTCACTGGATTGATGTTTTCTATATCAAGGTCAGCTATGATTAATCTGATTAACCGCTTGCGGATATAGTGGCATCATATGTGTGTCACCAGTGGTGTCTTTGCATCCAGTGATTGTCCCCCTGGTGGCTGTGAATCCACATCCTGCGTGTGCACCAATCTCTCTGTGAGGCGGCCGGTGAGCCTTCTCCCCAAACAGAGGCTTCCGCGCGAACTCAGAGGGCAATGGATTGATGCAAGTTTTTGTGTCGATTTCGAAACCAAAGTGGAATGCCTGGAAGGTTTTTTTTTGTTTTAGACTTTAGACCCTCAAATAGACCAATTCCCACAAAGAAAGGTATTGGACACCGTGCCACTATCTATTTGGGGACCACTACCAATCTGGCTTTCATCCAGGTTGAGGGCGCCCGTGTCAACCATGATCCCTCCTTTGGATCGCACGTGCGTTGGCTTCTCCTCGAGTCCTTTGGATTGGAAAACGGGGCTTTTCCAGCCTACGAGCCAACCCCTCCCCGTGCTCGACTCTGCATCCACCATCCATCCATCCGTAGCCTCACAGGTGAAAGTCCAGGCGATTCGTGTCCCCTAACCTGGCCGTCGCTTCCAGCCACACCCGAACGTTCCAAACTTGGTGATTTTCACGCCAGTGGAAAGATCTTGTTGAAGCTGCTTGAATGGTTTTTTTGTTTGCCTTTTTTCCGGGAGGTTCGGACATGGTCACCGTATCGTTTCCACTTGGTGGATCAAACGGCGAAAAGCCACTGACCCAGTGGATCTCAGTCGCCAGAAAAGATGAAACTCCAGAGTTAACAATTACATCGGGTTGCTAGGTCTAGGATGTTTAGTCTTTGGGAACTACAGCTTACCTGCTATAGTGGTAACTGGATCCACTGGATAGGTGTAAGTTCCATCACTCGGGGCTATAGAATCTGAGCAAAGCACCTGCCGCATGCATAGTGTAGGTAGGAATCGGAATGGATCGAATGCTCCAACTGGAGCAAAGTTCAACGGGGTATGTCTTGGAATGAAGCGAGTTGTCCAAGCACTGGTCTAGTTTAATGCATATAATTGGTGTTCTTTTGCAACTCCCAAATGTTCCATCTACAGGTAAATGCCACTGTTACCTACCAGCCTACATTCATCATTGAAACCGCCCATGCGGTCGGGTCATATGTGCCATACGATGGAGAGTCATGTATTATAAATTATATGTAATTGGTCACGTGATATCATGTGTATTTTACTACCAGATATCATGTATTTTACTTCTCAGATATTTCATAATGTGGGGATATAATGTGCATGTTACTGTGGATTGGACTTGCATTTCTTCATGAAATCCCCACATGACACCACTACTTTCAGCTTCGGCCAGGCGTCCGCAGCCGATCCGGAGCCCGCAGAGGCCGTCACCGATCGCTGCGATACTTGGGAAGTGTGAGGAGTTACTGGTACCATTTGGTACCTATCAGTTATCCTGCGATATCATGCAATCGATAGACTTCACTAGACTTTGGAAGCCGAGAAGCCGCGTTTTGACAGACGTATATAGTCTCATATTTTTTCACACCACGTTTCTGTTGTTTGTGCTTTTGAATATTCATGTTATACAACGACGTGCGTGAGGGATAATTGTGACTATCCGTGCTATGGTTTGGCGTAAGATTTCCTCAACGAGTTCAGTTTAAGTTTAATAGATTTTAATATGTTAATTATAGCATATAATCAGATATTGTATCCAAATTGCTTTGGCTAGGCTAAAGAAAACCGGACGAACGTGAATATTGGAGGCAAACGGAAGGGTAGTACACAGAAATATGTTGCAAACAACCTATTCTACTAACATCGTGGAAGGCCCGGGACATTCGTGAAACCCGAGGCTATTCGTGGACGTTACGTGGAATGGTGAGCCAGTAGGAAAACTGACTGCAGCAAAAACCCAGAAACCTTCGCAGAACTTCGTGGAAGGTGTTTTTGATGCACGAACTTCGTATAAACCATTTTTGCTGAACCATGCTGAACCCCTTTCTCCACACAACCTCCATTTAGCCTTCAGAAGAGTTCATCGTTCTGCCCAGGGCTGGTCGGCGCCAGCACAGGCGAGGGGGTGGAGATTTGAACTGTCAGCCTTCCGAGCCGGTTTGATCCAAAAGCTCAGTCTGACATCCTGGTCCTCAAGAGTCTACATTACGAGGCATCAGGTGAAACCTTCGTTTGGTCAGCAGCAGCTACCTTTTGGGCCTTCTTACCGGGTCTTTCTGGCTCTGGGCGCGCGGATGCGCGTGACATGTCTCTTCTCTACAGTGGTGGGTCAGCAGCCGTGCAGCCGTCCATCACGTTTGGCATTCCACATCTCTTAGAGGTTGCACGGCCTTGCAGGGCTTTGCCTACCCAGTAAAAGAACCCGTAACTTGTTTGCCTACTCAAAGGGGGAAAAGGGTGAATCTGTAGTGAACTGGGGAAACTGAGAGGGTCACTTGGGAAGATGCTTGGAAAACAAGTTTTCCAGCACTGGACTCCCACCACACGACTCGTTCATTCGCTTCCAGGTAGAGGAAGCCTGGCAAGATTGGACCGCGGCCCCGCCACAAGAAGCGCCAGAAGCGCCGTTCCTGGGCGGAACAATGGATCGGCAGTCAAAAACGGATGGTGAGTCTGGAGGTGATTCTACATTCGATGTGATTCTTGTGATTCTATCTGTTTTGATGCCGCGATATCAGCTGTTTGGTGTACATACCACAAACAGTACCACAAACATATATATCGGGTTTGTCGAATTTCCTGTAACAGTCAGGAACCAATCATTACTATTTTTGACCAAGGCCCTTGGTAACCATCGTCATCATTTTCATCATCATCATCCGCTGTTGCTGGTAATAGGATAACCCCCAAAACATCTGTAACACAGATGGCATTTCACGGCAGCTCCCGTGCTGAAGCTCCCACCTTCAGGCCTTGGGGCGAAGCTGAAGCGGTGGAAGCAGTTGCGGAGGATGCGGAGACGGCAGAGACCGGCGGCAGATGCGGAGACGGGAGAGATGGTCAAAGAAGAGGTGTAGAAGACCTGAGGATTGTTCAATGAAGAGTTGTGGACTTCTTCAAGTACCAACAGAGTTGTTCTTGAACCCTATAGACCATCCCATTGGTACCCCAGGTGACGGGTCCTAGTTCAGGTCACTCAACCTCTTTTGGTAGTTCGGTCAAGTCAAGGCCGTCCGCTACAACCGACCCCGAAAACCACCTTCACCGCGGCAGCGAGGGGCGGTGGCCAGGAGCCCGGGGGGTGGTTGTTTGGAGAAGACGAATGTCTTGGAATGACACTCCCAATCTCTCAGATGGACCTCGAATGACCACCCGGCTCGTCGGACTGTTGACTGTTTACCACGGCGCCGCGGTACGGTCCGTGGTTGGACCCGGGGTCCATGGGATCGTGAGAAACCGGGGTAGAAAGCCATTCTAGCGAGTGTGTCATGGACCCGGGAGACTGAGATACAAGTGATGCCATACCAGCTTTGAGGGCACTGTGACGTACCACTTCATCCAGAATGGGGAATTTGGGGGGATTGAGCACAAAGAGGCCCGAACCACAGGATCGACAGGATGCGGTTTAGAGTTGGAAGTTTATTCCATGCTGCCCTTTTCGCAACAAGACCCCCCCCCCGGTGAGTTCCTATTGTACAACACATTCCGGTGTCAGTCCCTCTCTCAGAGTAACAGATTGCAGGATTGTCCTGTGGAAGGGCTAGAGGATTGGCCACTTGGCTAGGGAGAGGGTCGGTGTGTGACACGGGGAGGCTCGCCGTGGGGAGCTGCTACAGCCACTTCACCTCAAGGCTTGCTGTAGTCAATGACTCATGCACCTAGCTGTTAGCTTGAAAGACACAGAATCCACATGTGTTTGAGCTCCTGTTCTCTTCTTGAAGCCATCCACAGTGGTTGATTCAGTTGATTCCGAATGCCGGGAGCAGTATATAGTCAATTTATGTCAATTTGAAAGGCTTGGCCATGCAGCAGGCTGGCTTGGCCTGCAGCAGTATGCTACAGCATAATAGCAACCGGTGAAATGTGGGAACCACAGGTGCCGTCCGAAAGTTGGAGTTGAAAAGACCATCTCCAACACATCCATCGGTACCGTCGGTACCTTCCTATGGATCAAGGCCGAAGTGGAATCCAGCGCCTTGTGGCACTGCCCTTGTGGTTTGGCTCACAGGGTGGAGAAGTAACCCAGAGAGGTCGAGAGACCCGAACTAGGACCCTGTAGTGGCGGTAAATATGGGATGGGCAAAAAATGACGGGCTGCTCAATCTCTCTTGGTAATTGAGCTTCTACTGCAACGGATGATCAGTGGGTTCCCTGCAGAAGTCTGCCTCTTGCACGGCAGACTCTAAGGCTGCTAAGCATCTCCCTGCACCATTACGGGCCACAGGCGCTGGGGATGGCTGGTCTGGCGTGTGTGACTCATCTTCTTCTCGTTTTGTGCCACATCCCAAGGCTTGTTCCTTAGACTAGCCGAAAGGTGTTATGAATCCCGTTCTGACAACATTGTCCACTCATCAGAAGCGGTTTCTTTGTGCTCAATTTGTCGAGGTACAAACTGAGGCTTAAGGATTCTTGAGCCAAAGCCACTCCAAAGAGCTGAAGATAATTGAGAGCAATTAGATCAACATGAGAAAACAAGAACAGAAACATCTCAGCGGTTTGGTTGCTGTTGTGTGTTTATTGTTTAGTATTGTTTGTGTGCTTTTACAGTATTGAAAAACCTCAAATCTGTGGAATGGTCATGACAACTGTCGCTGTCCGGCTGTTTCAGGCCATGGAATGGTGTGTGGAGATGGGCGCAGCCGGGGCACCCACAAGACAACCGTGAGAAGATTGACACACCATACATGTGCGTGGGGCATTGCAGTTCATTTCTTTTGCGAACAACAGGTCCTGAACAGTGTCCTGAACCTAGCAAGAATACATGTCCAGATTGGATCACCTTTTCCCGTGGCAGGCGCTTCTTGTTGATACGGCGCTTCTAGGCCTTCTAAGGATCGATTGCATGGTTTAAGCTGTACACACAAGGAACAACTCAGGCGTTTTGTTATATACCTGTTGATTTACTTTGTTGGTGTTCTAGCCTGAACTGTTGTTCTTTACCGTATTACCCTGATGCTATTTAGGTGCTATTGGAAACTACGCATGAAAAGTATTATATGGTTTGTTTTTGCATTTGTGTATATCCCTCAGCGTTCTTGTGCGGCCTGGCATTTCATTCTGGATCCAACTATATAAGCAGAAAGAGCAAGCCGCAGACCCTTAAGCAGAACTGTTTCCCTTCGGATGATGTGTAGGAATGTGTTCATGTGTTCAGGGATGTTCAGGGTTTAGAGCGATGCCAGTAGCGACGCCCTCCAGCATTGTTCTACTGCAGGTTTCAATCGAGGAGATCAAAGAGAGTTGGGAGGACTTTGCACAGGCCAGGTGCGGGCCGCTACTGGGACATCCCTGTAGACACCGTCCACAAGCATTTCCAATGCCCGCAAATGGTCCAAATTCAATATCCGATCCCAATCACCCTCAAGTGATCAAGGATGAAACAATTGTGAACACAGAAAAAGCAAACCAAGTCGCTGTTCATCGCTCAGCTGAGCTGCCGGGTGGAATGGAACCTTAACGCGCTTGCGTGAGCCGTCTAGGCAGATTTCTCCGGCAAACTGGCAACCTGGGGAATAGATCATGCAACCTGGGCAAGTCAGCGGACCAGCCCACCAGGTAGGTCAACCAGTCGGGAACTCGAGCAATGTCCGCTCCGAACGCTCCGAAGGCAAAAGACAAAACATGGCAAAACTTCCAGTTATGATTTCCTGATTCCAGTGAAATCATCTAGAATCTAGAGATATTGTTTTGTTGTTGGGAGGATGATGTGTGAAAACTCCACAACTCTTGAACAGCTTCATCATCGATATCGATTGTCTTTACAATGGATCGACCCTATCTAGACATGCATACCATTCAGTTGTTTGCTCCTTTTTGCTCGATATAACCAATTTTTGCTTTGAAGAGAACTTGTGCTCCAAAGAAGGGCGGTACTGAGACGAAACAACCAAAGAACAGCGTTTCCAGCTGACGCCGCTTGCAGGACTTGCGCTTGAAGCCTTTGGAGAAGAATCGCTTGCGGAAGGCGTCGACTATTGATCGATCAAGAACTTGAAATGACCCTACTTTGGATCACTTTTGGCATGATCATGATGCTCAATCCCTGTAGCACCCCATGCCGTGCACGAAGTGATGGTAGAACATGCGCACAAACCAGTAGTGATCAGCCAATCCGATCGCCCGAACCGTCTTGCTTTGTCAGACGACCTCATGTCCGTCCGATCGATCTGTTCAGAAACGAGCTTCTCGTCGACAAACAGAGGACGAACGGTATACCGTCCTTTCATGAAGTGATTCGTTTCTTGGAAGCTACAGCAATCAGTGATCAACGAGCAAAATCTGCTCGACAACACACATGTCCTAAGCATTCCTGAGCTCTTATGACCAGGATGTTCTTGATTCATGGATTGAGGAGCATGTCCGAGCATTTGCAGACACTGGTATTGACACTCAACAGGCTTTTTTGGTTCGGGGGTTTCTCATCCCGGTGGTGTCCAGGTCCGAACGGCCCGGCTGACTGCTTGAACTCACTGCCAGGCTTGCCAATGATTCCATGCGCGAAACATCGATTCAAAAGAGATCCAGTGGAGTTGCTGTTAAGTTATATAATGTTGTATATATATATATATTTGTTTTTTTACAATTGGGGTATACTATAAGGTTAATTGATGTTAATTGTATTGCATTGGTCATGAAATGTCATTAGTTTTGGATTGTGACAGGTTTGACTGAGTTGATATTAGATGATCATGTATGTCCTGCCTCAGAGCTGGAGCGACATATCTTACATGTATGTACCTTCCAAAGCGTTCACTGCATGGCCTGGGAAGAGATTGCAGACTGATCACTGAGGCATGGGAGAGGGTCATGGACAGAGGCTCCAAAGAGGTTCTTTTGAAGGTCATGGACATTGTGCACATTGATTATTGATTATTTTAGGCTAGGGAAACAGCAACAATTCAACCGGGAAGAACTTGGGCACTGGAGGGGAGCAATGTGCATCAATAAGCTGTGCCGTATCAAGAGCTTCCAAAGAGACAGTGTTTCTGTGTTTGGATTCTTGTTTGGTTGGTTTGAGGAGTTTTGCTTCATCCTCAACCAGTAGAAGACTGCTTTCGAAGAGGAAGGTGCCAAGAACATGTTATTTTATTGAGGGCAGCTGAAAGAGTGTTCAGTAGCAGGAAAGGCATGAGAGAACCTAGAACCCAAGGAATCAGTGAATACTCGTCGTGTTCCCACCGAGAGTTTCATTCAGGAGGACTTCATTTGCCAGAAAACCCAAGAATTTAACTGAACTGAATGGACACCTAAAGCGATTTGTGGTGCAAACCAAATGAGCCGCGTGTCCTCAGTCCCTGGCTGGCGAGCTCTAATTCCTGGCTGGCACCTTGCAAGGTCTAGAGTTTATCCTGCAAGAGAACCTGAGAACCTAGGATGATTATAGGCGTGATTGCTTTGGGGCTGTGATTGGTTTGAGCAAGATATCATTAACATCTTAAAGAGGATCCCTGACACCTTGAACATGATAGGACCCCATTACCTTCATCTCGGTCCGGTGTTGCAACCGGTATTTTCGGCTCCAAACGATGCGTAGCTTGGGCGTTTGTAGACTGCGTGGAAAGCGATGGTGGTGGTACACCTGGGAAAGCTAAGCACTGGTCCAAGCACTGGAGCCTCAGAAGGTAAGAACTGACCCTTCAACTCAACACCTTCAACACCTGAGATGCCTACGTTTTTGTATGTTTTTACGGAACATATTCATCCCCGACTTTTGTGAACTTGGTTGATTCCACACCATATTACACCAAAGCATGGCCAAACCATGCACATGTACAGATTCCTTCAAAATACGATTGGCCACGTATCTGCAGGGTTTCGACTGTGTTCGAAAACCACGTCTGACGAGAGTGTAGTGATGGGGATGATCCGAAGCTCAACTGCTTACGGTGTTTCCTTGATGAAATCTATCAAGCATTGTTCAGTGTAAACACATGGACAAGTTGACTGACTGGATAAGTAGCATGTCTCTTTTTTGCACTTATATTGGATATGATACTCTATTAATCATCATCCGCGAGCTCAACGGTCATGATCAATATCGCCATGCTTGGCTCTAAATCTTCCACCAACTCAACCCCCACCGCCCAGTGCCTCAAATCTAATCACTGGTCTCCACTGAGTCCGGCGCGGCGTAGCGCCAACCTCGCGGGGCGTGGGCGATTCCGTGCCACCTCTCCATGCATGGGTTGTGGGGCGAGCAGCCAGAAGTATGCTGCCGTGAGCTCAACTACATGGGTTCTGGAGCTGTTGGGTGTGAAAGAACTACTGGGGGTGGAGCCTTAAGGGATCAAAAAGGTGGTTAGTGCATGGTAGTGCTTCATGTCTTAAGCGCATTCTAAGACATATATATATATATAGAAGTAAACGTTTGATGATGCTGATCCTAGATGTTCATGTTGATGTCTCCCCCAAAGCTCAAAGCTTAAATTGGCCAAAGTAGATGGCTTTGTGGCCAAGACAGGTCATAGCCATAGCCATGGGATCTGGGAACATTCCAGGCTTTGCCGGGGCCAGTTGATCGTTGACGCTTTCAACAGGATGTTTGGGGTGAATTGGGTGACAGGTCCACTCCAGCCAACACAAGATGCTGTCCGCACTTATGACCTGTCCGCACAAGGTTTGCCGAGAAACAGTGGAAAAACTGATGAGACCTTAGGACCTAGGAGAGGAGCTTATGAAATGCTCATGAGGTCATTCTTTGGGTCACAGAGACACCCCCGCGGATGTTGCTCATGGCGGAAAAAAAAAACAAAAAACAGACGGCACAGGGTGCGGTGCAGATGTTGGGTCACACGGTGTTTGTTTCTGGAGTGTTTTGAGCCGAAAGACATTGGTTCAAGCCATGACAGATTCCAGTCCTCAAGTGCAGTCACTTGGTGTGCAAATGTGGGCTGAACTTGCAGCATGTGTATTCGAGGATTGGACGAGGGATGCCCTTTGGCCAAGGAAACAGCTGACTGGAGCGTTTTTGAACACGCATGTATTTGTATGATCTTCAAGAGATATGCCTCAATGACTAGTCTACCAGTCTACTAGTCTAGGACATGTTGATCACGCCCCAGCTATCCATCTATATATATAGAGAAAAGTACAACCTTTGTATATTATATATACAAATGTTCGGAACTATTTGACTATTAAGAAGTATTCCGTTCAGGGACTGACATACGTTGACTTTGTGGTTTGACCTAATTACAGACCTCATGGTTTCCGAGAGCCCAATTGACGACACCAGCATGCTTTTTGGCCACTGAAAAACTAATGTTCAGAGGGGTTGCCATTGAGATCGTAAACCAACCGGGATGCAAACCAAAACCATCAAAACATCTTGGAGCGCCGTTGAAGGTGACCCATGTGCCCCTGCCAGCACCTGGCCTTGTGGTTCCCCTCCCCAGGATGCTCGGTGTATTTGTTCATGTGAAAGTGAGCGACTGTCGTACCCCCAACAGGCTAACTGGTCCTAGGCCCTAGGCACTCTCGTCTTTCCATTTCAACTGCCCACCTTGCAATCTCTCATTCCTTGAGCAACTTGGCTGAGTCTTAGGAGACCTAGGAAAACCTTGGCGGACTCTCATTCTCCTTGGCTGAGAACCTAGGAAGCTGTAGAATTGACCCGAAGACTCCACGGGTCCGTCCGATTCTTATGATTCCACAGCGGTGGTCTCGGGAACCCGAGACCCTCCGATTAGCCTGCAGGGAACTTGCAGGGATCCGCAATTGAGGTGATGTATGAGTATGACCAACCAGACCACACCATGAGCACTTTGTGATCTTGCAACAGGTTGTTTTGTATCCCATCCCAACTTAGTGTTTTGCAGAGTGCACTCTTCCGAATAAAGAATTGTGAGTACTCAACTCAACCGATGAACATGCACTACAGACACTTCGCAAGAGGTTGCTGCGGGAGCAGGTCAACCCTCAGGTTTGTCAAGCTCACGCCACACCTATACCCTGAACACTGAGGTGGGAGTTTCCATATTCTGTTTGCCCATTGGTTGATTTCAACCAAGGAGAAGCCAGAACTTCCATGATTACTGAAACCCAAGTTGCTGTTCAAAGGGCTCCAACCACCTCCTCAGAAGGTAGTTGCCATAAATTGCATGAAGACTGGATCCATGGTGAGCCTGAGGCCCATGACGACCCCACCTCAGCTGGGCTCTCGAGTCATCTCCTTGGGCGAAAGTGAGGACGGTGTTCACCCACGGAAACTATATTACACGTACATTTAGGATCATTTAGGTAGCTTTCAGACAGTCTTTGCTGATTTCAAGTGTCCTACTCTTTCTCCTTTCTCCAGGGGCTGCAGGTTTTGGAATGCTGGATAGGATGCCTCAGTGATTTAGAGTTGTTTTGTGAATGTACTAGGCAGTCTTTCTACGATTTTATCTTCATTCTGGCAGTCCATCATTTGCATTGTTTGTTAACTTTCCTTGGACTGTTAGCCCAAGTGGATGGAGAACCATTTGTTCAACAGCTGTGTTGCACCAGGCTTGATGGATAAATATCATTTTTGAGTATGCCTCAGGAGTGTAGATGTAGACGTCGATCCTTTGTGCTGACTTGAAAATGGATGGCATCTGAATGGATGGGCAGAGGAGTACCCAGAACCTGCCAGAACTTCAAATTTGTTTGAGTGATGTTCCCCCTACACCTCCAACTGCCTGTGATTCCATGTTTGGGAGGTTCAGTGCCTAGGAAGGTCAGTGCCTACCTTCTGTCATGGTCCGCCATGGTCCGTCATGGTGCGCCATCGGATCGACGGTTCTGATCGTCCTTTCCTCGAGGAGCGCGTGATGAGCCCCGTGTTCGTGGAGCCAGTGCAGATGCATTGCACAGGCGTCGTTGAGCCGTTTTGTTGACATTGGTCCGGGTTGGTCCTGGAGGTCATTTGTGCTAGGTTGTTGTGGTCCTGGCTGGGAAGTCTGTATATTTTATTATGCGTTCAGATTTGCTCACCCAATGTAGGTTCACAAGAGACCTTTCCTTATAAAGGAGGGCGACGTGATTGTTCCCAGCAGATGATCAGGCTATTCCATGCAAAGAAACCATTTTGGGCTATTTGGGCCAGCCAACAGATCCACCATGATCCACCTGTTTGGGTCTTTGACACCCAAGACCTCCGTGACCGAAGCCGCGTGCACCGAGGCGATAAGGTGGTGAAGGCCACGGCCAAGTCCACCCGGAGGCTCACGAAGATTGCTGGCCTCGCGCTGTCTCCCGGCATGAAGAACGTCAACGAAAGATGGTGACGACCTGCCCAAAACGAACAGTTCGTAGCAACCGAGAAAACATTAACCTTTAAATGCTGGGTCCCTTTTTCACAGGTACCTGGAACATTAGCCAATTATTTGTTTGGATTTGATTTAAGTTTGATGAACAACATATGTATGCAGCCCCTTTGCTCGAGACTTTGTCCTAGTCGTTTATTCTTCACCAAGATGGGTCAGAAGAAGCCAGAGCGTCGGTGCGGGCTTCATGTCGCTTTGATGCTTGGAGTTTGCCTTCTCTTCAACCACGGCTATTTACTTTGCCAGCAGAGTCTACAGCGCAAAAGCTGTCAGTACCTACACCCACCATGTCCAGAACCGTATCCCAACGCGAGCTACAGGCGATGGCGATATGATTTGTCGGGAAGAGAACTTGAAGAACTACAAGGAGCAAATATCATTCATATTGAGGTCTTTGGCATGGCAACTCCAAGAAATGCAGGCATCCGGGATTCCAGGACATTTGAGTCAGCAGATGAGAAAACTGAACACTAGCGTCAAAGGGCTTGAACACTATGTTGATCAACATCTTGACATTATTGACGAGGATCTCAAGATGGGTATTCAGGACTTGAACAAAACCCAGCGTGATCAGAATGTCACAAAGATGCAAGCAACGCTCTCAAGTGCCAACAATACCCTTGTGGTCGTTTTAGACCACTTGGAGAAGATAAACATGGAAGTGATATCACGTGTTCAGGACATGGAGACCAAGATTGAATGCCTTCAAAACGACTTGCTCAAATCGCAGAAGGAAACAGAAGGACAGCAAAAGGGCTTACAAACCGTTGGAGTTGGTTGTTGCAGTTGTTGCATTGTTGGAGTTGTCGGCCTTGGAGTAGGATTTGCTGCAATTTCTGCAGTCAAAGGTGCCACAGCAATAGTTTTGGGGGTCAGTGCAGGGTCATTGGCCGCTGGTTCAGGATGTGTAGGAATGGCCGGAATCGCGATTCCAAGAAACCGTTGAAGGACCGGACCTAACAGATCGGCAAGAAGCACTGTCAGAGATTGAATCTTCTGTGAAGCAACTGCGGACTGAAATTGATGCGATGAAGGTCGCCGCTACCAATGTCCAAATTCTACGTGTGAGTACACCATGCGACTTTGCAGATGCTTCGGACGAGTGTCACAACTTGGCAGAGCGGCTCAGCAAATTTTGTAGTAGAACTGTGACCAAGTGATTGCAATGTATATACGTGCAAGCACAAGCAGGCATGGATGTGTTTGTGTGCCTTGCCGCAGAGAGGCAGGAAGACTTATAGGGGAAAAAGGATTAACAATGGAGAAAGGTTGGAAGTGGTGTGGCCATGAGGGTCTTCGGGAGGGTTCACAGTTGATGATTTGAGCTCCACAGTTTCGTTTGGTGGAGGGTAGAAGTCCCTGGGGGACGTCGATGGCCTTCTTAGCTTCACAACATTGTCGGCGAAGAAAGGATTCCTCAGTTTCTGATCACTTCAGAGTCCAGCAAGCCACCTGTTTGGTGCTTGGAACATGGTGTTCCAACAGGCCAGGTGGTCCATATGTGATGTGAGAGTTGCATCATAACTTTTAGGAGCTCAAATAACCAGTTACTTGGAAGCTAAGTAACGCCTCAGAAGGTGAGAACTGACCTTCCCAATCACCCAGCCCAAGCAACCACCTGCTGGCAGGTGGTTGGAACCCGGAGGGCATTTCTAAGAAGCTTGAAACACCCGCATGCCATCATATCTCAGAGAAATTGGTTGATCCGAGGTTCGTGATCATCTTCCTCTTTTCCTTTCTTGGAGCCTCGGCTAGCCGCGGCTGACTGGATCTGGTGATTTCCTTGTGGGATGCACTGGGAACGTTGCGTTGCTGTGCTTTCCTGTGTTATGCTGTGTTTTCCTTTTCGATCTGGCTTTCCTGGGAACAGACCAGAGTTTGAAGGTCAAAGACCCTTGACATCGCTTGACCCTTGGAATTGGTCCCATGGTCCAACGGTCCCCAAAGCACGTCCTTGTTGGTTATTTTCGTGGTTTCCTACAGACATTGGGGTGGACCTGTGGAAGGGATCCCCTTGAGACTTGGGGTACAGCTTGGACTAGCTCAAGTGCGGAGGAGCTTGGACCACTTTGGGCTCGGAGCTGGGGGAATTCCGGCCAGGTTCCTTGTTGGTTTTCCTGCAAAGATCGATTCTGATGATACATGTTGATACATATCCTGCCCTACTTGTGAGACCAATGATGACCAACACCTATAGTTTTGCACAAGTTGCCAGATTTCAAGGTGTTTAGGCTATCGCCTTCCTTCCAGTTGTCCTTCTATTAATGGCCCATGTCAGGATGGCCCAGCAATGTCATTGAGGATGAGACGATCCACAAAAAGACTGCAGGGCCAGTGGTTCTTGGTGTCGTCGCTCTGGGGTCCAAGGGTGGGGAAGATGCGGGGAAGACAAGTCGCTTGGGGCCTTGCCGTTTCTCCAGGTGGTGATTTACTGTAGCTCTTGAATTTCACACCAAGCCTCCAAGTCGTTGGGCAGCTGTTGGAACCCTCTCTATTTATGACACTTCCTACCACCACGGATCACTCCAAATTCAGGTTAATGTTTGTTTTCTGGAGTTCGTCCGAAGATCGTGCTGCACGGTTTCGTGGGAGGGAAAGAAGGCCCGGAGGCTGCTCACTTGGGGGGAGTTGCACCTGAACCTCACTTTTTGTTGGAAGTGGGATGAACTCTCGATAGTGCTACCCATGTTTTGGTGTTCATCCCAGTCAGACCAAACCATCCCAACCCATGTTGTTGGCACTTGAATCACTCGCCCTCAAGCTACCAGTAACAAGGGCATCGCTACTAGTAGCTCCTGGCATTACATAGTACAGCAACAAGAAGCTACGAACGTCACAAGGTGCATCGCTACTAGTAGCAGTAGCAAGGACGCTACGAACGTAGAGCTCCTTCGACCTGGACGCTACGAACGGATCAGGTCGATCGGGACGCGCCGGAGACGAGACACGTCGGCCGTGGGCCGTCGGACGGCGAGGATTCTGGCAGTGCTCTTCTTGACCGGGATCCTCATGGTAGCGCTAGAGGATGTGCTGAGACTGGACAAGAGTGCGATCATGTTGGTCCTATCCTCCGTGTGCCGTGGTGAAAGAAGGGAGATGAAGTGGGGGAAATGAGACAGGAAGTGGGTGAAGAAGAGAAAGACGAGTTGGAGTTGGGGATTTCAGACAGGGTCGGATTTGGGACAGGGTGGATTTCTCAATATTTCTCACACACTTTTGGAGGCCCATGTGAGAACAATCCCTCCCACCACCTCACAGAAAAGACCAGGACCGCAAGAAGCGCACACGTGCTTCACACTTCGACATTGGTTTTCAGTTAACTCAATTTCCAGGAAAGTGGCGATGGAACGGAAAGGTGAGAGAGTCAGCTCAATTGTATGGTTTTAACAATCTGTTGACATGTCTGCGGTGGTGAACGTCAGCGCGACTCAGCTGCATGAAAACGCGGCAAAAGAAGGTTTAAGGGAGGTAGCATGCGAACAACCATGAATCAAAAAGCGGAAAAGGAGGGTAACAGCTTGTGAAGCACTCTGCAGGTACATGGTTGAGCGTCCTCAACCACTTCCCTTCCAGTGACCCAGCTTCGTTGGATCAGGTTAGTCACTGGAAGCCTGATCCCCCTGCGATTATCAGTTGGTAGAAAGGACCCTTTGAAACAGGGCTTGACACACACACACACATGCGGAACACGCACGGAGGATGTGGACCTATCACGCGGCTTCGCGGCACCCGACGCACTCCTTGGAGGGCCATGAGACCTTCGACCTGGAGCTGGGCAAGGCCGGTTCGACGACGGGCTGGTCGGGGCTCGGCCTTACTCGAAGCCCGACGATTGGGGGATGGCCAGCTGCTCCCAATTCACCCAACAGGTATAGGATGATTCATATTCATGGTGTGCTTGTCATTGTTCCATTTTGTTTCTTTTTTGCTTTGAATTTGTTTGAATCCCGCAACTTGTGAGGTGCTCCAAATGCCTCTGTCTTGGATATGCTGTCCTTTGGCTGAACCCTCCCAATACACCCCACGACGGAGTCACCACTTTCCTTGTTTCTTGCAGGTCCAGTGACTTCTGGTATCAGAATGGAAGCTCTTCACTCCCCGCGTCGACCCCGCAGCGCTTCAGCTCATCCGCTTCCGCTGCCTCGCCATGGGCCGCCACCCACGGACCTCGCCGCCGCGCGGACGCAAGGACCTCGCGGCCACAAGCGTGATGCGCTCGGCGGTGCGCTCGGCAGCTTCGGTGGCCAAGCAGGTGGCGAAATGCACAGAGGCGGGGTGGAGGCGGGCGGGGTATAGGCAGAGGGCAGGGGGTCTAAATGACTCTGCCAGTGACTCTGCTATGATTGATTGCATGGATATAGACAGTAGAGTTTTTTGATAACTATGGATGGACATGTTGAACTCTCCAAACCTTTGAGGTGTCTTTGCTAAAATATCATGCCGCCGCTGATGTGTGAATTTGAGAAGTGAAACCTGTAGTAGATGATGACCAATTACCCTGATTGAATGCCTGAACTTGATTGATTGACGAGGAGTCATCTCAGTGAGGCCAGCGATTCCCAAGTGAGGTGGAGGCGGCAAGAGTTTGTTTAGTTTAGTTCACTCAGTGATTTGGTTATTCCAATCCCTACATGACCTGAACAACAAATCATAGCAGATTGGGGGTCGCTCTCAAGATTGTTGGCCTAGCTAGGTCTTGGACATTGATTTTTGCCTTTGCAACCAGATGGGCATGGCAACTCTTTGATCACGAGTTTGAGCTTTGGTGATTCCAAGGAAAGGCTTGACTTTTCCATACTTTTTCAAAATACCGACATAAGTTCCAAACATGCCAATGGTCTTATTTAGGATGCTTTTCTGCACTTGATCACCCAATGAATATGGTTTTTCTTCCGGCACCTGGGGCTGCCATGCACCCCAGCCCCAACAGGAAGAGCTGGCCGAGCTGCAGCGCCAGTTCCGTGAAGCTGTTGAGTCTCGGAGCACTGCCATCCTCCAGCATTACAAGGATCGGAGACCGATGGGTCACGTGTCACGTGGCGTTTTCGATGCGTGCCGGTTGCGTGGTTGTTGTTTACGTCGTTGCAACGAAGAGGATGAAGATATATAACACCATGAGCTCAAAAAGCCCGTCAGTCCGAGGTTTTTTGAACATATAATACTGTTGTACTGGGTAAAGGTTCTGGCGAACAGAAAGCAGGACGTCTTGCAGCCGGATGTGAACGAGAAGCTCCTGGAAGAGCTCACTAAGGCCGGGCCAAGGAGTCGGATCGACTTGAAGAGACAGGCAGCTAGCACAGACGACATAGCCTAGGCCTTCTGAGAAGATGTTTGGGGTGGGTGCCAGGAGGGTCCAGTCATACCTTCTGAGGAGGTACTTGGAGGTGTAGCGATACACAGTACAAGATTGCTTAAGATGTTTTTTGAGAATTTCTGGGCCTCTCGGAGTTTGCATCGACATCGAAAATCCGGAAGATATCAACCTGTTGAAAGCTGCGGGACAAAGCTTAGTGTTTTTTGTTTCCCAAGGTGTGTCTCGTTTTTCCATGGTGCGAACGCAACGCGCCGTTGTGTTTTATTCGTTTGCTCCTTGCAGACCACCATGGCAGACCAGACCCGTCTGTGTTTAGGGCGCCCAGTCGAAGAGAACTATAACGACTGACGTCGCTCTGAACTGTTTGTTTTGTGAACTTTGTGTCATGTACTCTTAAAAAAAGAAGACACACACAGCACTTGGTCCACTATGGTCCACTATGGTCCACTATGGTCCACTTGTGTGTGTGTTTTGTTCACACACTGCACTTGTGTCAGTCTTTCAAAACTCTTCGCACTTGCTCCATGACCCCAAACACGTCGGCCCTAACCTTTAAACGAGACCCAAGTGGTACGTAGTCCGTCCGTCCATGTCCGTCCTCCGTCCTCGTCAGGTGTCCGGGGCTCTCAAGCAGCTCAAGGAGACATGTTTCTTCTCAGGAAACAGGATTCTTTTGGACCAAAGGCATTTTAGCTCCAAATCCACTTTTAAACAGGTTTAGGGCTTGATATGTTTTGCTCGAAATCATGCGTTCATTAGTTTTTTGAAGCTCCAAGATATCATTCCAAAACCATTTCTCGGGAGGTGTAGCCACAGTACATACCTATAGATGCACTTGGGAGTTGCTAACATGGTCACTGGCACTGTTGCATGCATGATCCCCATCTCGCTTACGTACATGCATGACTTTCGGATTCAACTCATCGTGGCTCACGTGCTCCCTCTCCCTCCAAACCACCATGACGCACAATGCACCACCATGAGTGTCTTCCTCAAGACCATCTCCCTCAAAAAGGTGGCTTCATTCAAAAACCGAACCTCGAGGAGGCGGAGCTGCATCGTGGCAAGCTCCTCCGACAGCTGCAGGGCGACCTGGAACGCCTCACCAACGACCTCCGAACGACACCGGGATCCACGCCGGGATCGATGGCGCGGGCAGCCACGGGCACGTCCGGGTGCTTGGAAGGGGGCTGGGTGGGGGGTATTCGGAGCTTGGAAAGAGGTACCTGGAGGTTCAGTGACCAATAAATACATCTACTAATACATCTATGGTTTTGCCAGCTATACCTTCGCATACAACAAAAACATCTATAGCCATGAGTGTATACCTTGAAGCTCCAGATTGAGTCATGCGCCTGTGAACAAGGCCCCCAGTGGAGCTTGGGTGGTGGGTTCATGCAGGAACCACACAGGTGGACTCGAGATCAAACCCAAGCTGGTCCCTCAAAAACCTGAGAAGCATGACCTCATATGACTCCCCCTAAATATGGTACCATCAGGTATACCATCAGGTATACTATCAGGTATACTATCAGGTACCACATGGTACCACATTGAAGCTGTGACAAGATGTTTTGCTCAATATTGCTCAATTGTCTTGGTTTTATCTTGACACATCCAGTGAACGGACATCTATCCCCCACCTTCAGGCATTCTGATCGCCCCAACAGCCACCTCCCGCGCACCTCGCCGCTCCGCGCACCGCCTCAGGACCCGCGCCGGTCCTGGTGCACCTCCCGCGCTTCCGCTTCCGCCGCGGGCCGCGCCCAAGCGCCGTGGGAATCGGACCCTGAAGGACTGAGGTGCCTCGTTTGCAGCGTGAACAGCGAACGCGTAGGGCAGGGGTGGAGCAGTGAGTGATCTTGGCGGAGATCAGTAGATCTCTCGTGAAGAGGTGAATTGGGAGGTGTTGTGTTTTACTTGTTTAGTGTATTCTGGTCGCCATGAGGTGTTCTGTTCTATTTTCCCCAAATTGAACTTGGTGTGTTGTTGTTTTTGTCGAGCGGGGGGTCGCGTGGGGAAGAGAAGACGGTTTTCCGTTGGGGCATTGATAGTGTTGGTGTGGGAGCAGAGGGGAAGGTGAGCAATTTGTTGTAGGTCAGGGGTTGTCATGGTGTCCTCAGGCTGGACTGTGCTTCGGTGCATCGGATCTAGTTCCTAACGGTCCCTTTTGAGCCTCCAGAGACTTTGCTTGTCTTAGAAATCCCTTGTGAAGCCTCCCAAGTTCGGACGGATTTAGGTTGTTCGGGGGAGTTCATGTTTGTTCATGTATAGACAGATGTGTATTTCTTCATGTTTGAGTCCCCAAGAGGGCGGAAACGAACAGAGATTCCGATGTTGACGATCCGGCCAGGTGAGCTGGGCATGTTAATTCAGACAGGGCGCGTAGTTGGATTTTGCGTGCGAAGTTGGGTGAGGGCCAGGAGATCGCAAGAGATGTGAGTGGGTTCATAGGCCCAACTGTATATATAATTAGTCTGATTTGCGAACAAGCTAGAGGAATTGATATTAGCCTGTTGCCAAGCAACTTTCCAGATTTGAGAGTGGATTGTCTATGCAAGACAATTGATTTTATCCATAGCATTATGAAAGGCGAGCTATTTCAACTGCATTTGGAGCAAATGAACGGGGCCTGGGGCACAATAGCTAAATACATAAGTGCTGCAACTGAGCTGCGAAAGACATTCGAGCTAAGAAGGTGACCATTGGAATGAACCATGGCCGGAGGAGGCAAACTCTTCCGCGAGCCAGATTTCTTTCCGCCTGATTTAGAGTTCGCCACCAACCAATGCCTATTTTGCGGGCAAACGAATCATGCATGTGTTCTTTGGATGGATTTGGCACAATTCCACTCACCAACACGCTAAGTGTGTGGTTTCATTCTATTGACAGCAGCTTGCCATGTGGACCTCCACTAGTTTCTTGCTGACCCATACCAGCGCAGCCTCATCCGTGCAAAGTAGTCTAAGTAGTCAACCCAAGAAAACCATGTTTCAATGTTGTCAAGAAACCAACCTGCTTGCCTTTCTATATATGTATGTTTAAGAGTAATTAACCGTCATTGCTTTCCAGGTTACCATTGACACTGCTTGGCCTTCAGTACATCACACCACGTGGGACTCGCCTCATGCTTCACACCACGTGGGGACTCCAGACCCTCGCAGAATGGCGCCGAAAAAAAACCCGCGCTCTTTGGAATGGCACGGAATGCGACATGCGAAAGGACGTGAGGCAGGAGTAAAGAAACAGCCTGCGGTCGCAGACCCCAGGCTAGAACGTCCCAGCAAGAACAGGGTATATTCCCTTCCAGTCATTCCTTCCTGGATGACAGCAATATATTACATACCGTATACCCTTTCCAAGGATGGATTTGGGAAGTATAGGGTCGAGAGGATTCCGGGGGTTCAACAGTTCAACCTCATAGACATAGATTTACCAAGGCAAGCCAGCATCCTAGAACCTCTTAAGTTTTCATATCTGGCCAAACAACTCTTTGGAGTGTCAGGTTTTGATCATCCCCGATGTATGAGCGGAACACGAACCAGACGTCGTCAGGTTTGAAGGATTGACTCCCTGGCAGAACGATCCACGTCCATCGCATCAACAACGCAAATGGGGATACCTCTGCAGAAGGGGACGCTGTGGCGTCATCAGTTGCATGGGGATGCAACTCTGCAGGGGCTCGAGGGAAGCTGTGGACTGGCCAGAGAGGCTGAAGCTATGTGTGTATGGTTGGAATTGTATACATGGAAAGCCAGAAATCACAGAAACACCAAACCAAATGCATACTTTATCCATGTTCACCTCAGGTCGGGGAAGCTTTCACCATGTTTGATTGTTTTGTGTGCGTGTGTGTTTCAAATCAACTATAGAGCTGGAACTGTAGAACTGTCATCTCTGGAGGAGACTTTGGTTGCAAGCTACTGTGTTTCCACTCGCCCAAACCGAACACAGTCAGTTTCGCTCAGCATCAAAACGTGCGCTGCAAAACGTGCGCCCGTGGCATGCGCAGCAAAAAACACGCCTTTTGAAAAGGTCGAAGGAAGCGTTTGAGTTTTGAGTTCTTTGTCGAACTGAGCGCCGCGCGTCTTGACGGTGGTCAGTGACTTGCAGAAATGCCTTGATTTTACGTCGCCATGTTCACCGCACTGGGGAGTTCTATTTCCTTACTTTAAGAACAGCTTGCCTGTTGACGCTATGGCCGAGCATTGCTCGGCACCAGCCCACAAGCATGGGGTGTTTAAGTTGATGTTCCTCGATGCTAAACACTCACAGGCATGGTGTTGAGATTAACTTTCCCATGTCAGGTGCTGTTCAATCCCCCGGGTCTTCAACGCATGCTCTTGCTGCTCGAACAAAAGCATCAAACCACACACATACCCATGGCATCCCATGGCCTCTTTATTTCGGTAGAAAGACACAGTTAATTTCGAGCTTTTCGATGAAAGAGAAGGGCTGTCGCATCGCTGTCGCATCAGGGATTGGAGGACGTGGGGAAGGTGATCCTATTCCTTCTGCCAGCCATGTGCTTAGTGGAATCCATTGATCACATGCACCTTGGCACCGGTGTCCTACGTGCGTTTGGACGTGTAGAGACGACGTGTTATTTCTTTCTCAGCCAAAAATATATTATATATATATTATATATATTATAAACAATATTACAATAACAGGGTGTTCGTGATTGTATCAGGGTTTTTCCAACCGGGCAATTTGCTCAGTTCTGGGTTTTGATTGCCGGACGATTTCAGGTTGTCCAGTCACCCTTTTTGACCAACCGATTAGCTGGGTCTCCGATGTGTTTTTTGTGCTGAAGAGTGGTCATTGGATCCTGCTATTGGAGTGTTTGGAAGGGGTGTCACTCGTTTTATTGATGCTCTTTTTGGCGTGTTCTGGATGTAACATGATGTTATGTATTTTTGCACCCACATCAGTGGCGACTTCCTGGCAACTTCGACTCCGTTGCGGACTGGAAGGTTAGTCTTGCGATGCAGGGTAGCCACAGAAACATTTGGAATCTAGAACAATCGGTATGATAGATCACCCATCAACTAATCTCAATTATTTGCACATGTCCACACACATCCATTAGGCAGACAGGATCTGAGTGTAATTGTTGTCACCTGTTGAAGTCATTGGACGTTGAGAAGGGCAGGTGAGGGGTCCTTGGAATTTGGGAAAGGGTTCATGGAGGGATCCTACCACTTGTAGTGACAGTGGAATTGTTAGAGAGTGATATCCGGACAGATGTAAAGGGTAAGTGACTTGAGATTTTAGCAAGTTCCCCGATGGTGAGGTTCTTGGAAATGACCATGCGTAGCCAGCAGTGATGTTTTTGAAGGCCCGCAGATGAATTTTAGTTGATCGAGCCACATGCGCCGCCAACATGTTCAGCGCCTTTGCTTCAGCAACGCCTGAGGAAGGGCTTCGCAGTGGTCACGCGCTTCATAGTGCGATGCACCAGAGAGAAGGCCGCTTTGGTACACGCGCGGGCGCGAAGCGCCAAAATGCATACTGTATGTGTATAATTTGAATGGGGAGATCACGAAACAATGGTTTGTGCGGGTTTGTGATCTATTTTCCTTTTCCCAGGGGGTCTTTGAGAGGTCATACATGTGTGTGGCTATACAGGGAAAGGAGAATGTTTGAAGTTTCCTTTGCTGTCAACTTGTGGGAGGAAGGATTCGGGTGATATCGTTTGTTTCGGCTGCGGATGCTTTGTCACATCAATCAACTGACTGAATTTGAAGCTTGTGGGGATCCGGTACGTGGTATGCGACATTCAGAGATTCCTGAAATGCCTTGGTTGACAGTTCCAAGCCACTGCAAGATGAAGCCATTCATCAATCAAGGGTGCAGTTAGTAGAACAAATTCCCTGGAATAGTCATGGAAGTGGATGGCATGGCCCCTTGGATGACCATTTTCCTCTACACCACATCGCACGGATCTATCCCGCTCTGTTAACCCCCTTGGATAGGTACCGGGTAGGAAACAGAAGTTGACACTGTGTCAATGACATATCTACATCATCACAACGGAAAGGTTTTGAACCAGAGTGTGAAGAAGGACAAGTGAAAAGAACATGCATCTAATTTGAAGCAAAAGTTTTTCATGTCGGCCATGTTTACACAGTGGAAACAAAGAGTCGATTGATTTATTAGCAAGGGGGTGGTTTTCCTCCTAAAGTGTTCCTCTACAAATAACTTTCCTGGAGAACAAGCGATTATTTCAGGGAGTGTACCTATAGTCTGTCGCCCGGTCCATCTCAAGTGTCCGACGACCGAAGCGCAAAGAGGAGACGACCGAAGGCCACAAAATCATCTTCCCTCCACCTTCAAGACTGGTGCTTGGTATAGGACATGAGGGAATGATCAGATTTTTGTTCCTCACCCATTATCACATTTTTATGTTGAATACTTGTCGCCACCACCCTCATTCCTTGCGAAATCCTCCATGTCAGCCGTCTCATTCGAAAATCGGCGGACACCCGCTCCCTCCATCGATCTAAACGCAGCCTGGACGCTTGATGCCCATCGTTTGCGTTTTGGCCTTCTTCTTGAGTTCAGCAGCTCGGCTGAGAAGCCTCTGCAAGCGTCGCACGCTGCCGGAAGACGGTCCTTCCGCATTTCGTTTGGAGAACGATCTACTGGGCGGATTTCAAGTACTGGGTGGGTAGTTTTAGATACGCCCTGGAAGAGACCCACATGGAACCTGAAAACGGTTGGGTTGCAGAGGAAGATCGTTTTTCAGTCTTGTCATTTTCAGGTTCCATCTTAATCTTCGTGGGGGTATTCTCATGTTCATCCTTTACATGGTATTATTGTGCGTATTGAACCCACTGACTAATTTTGTAAGTGAGTTGAGACCACCAACCAGATCTATTCATTTTTGGCAAGGATGTGAAGACTCCGTAGTATGGGTCTCTGGACCTCATAAAACAGTGCTGTATCATGTTCTATTTGATGTGTGTGGTAGTCTTGTGATCTGATCTTTAGAGTGGGGCAATCGAATCGATTGGGTATTACTTGTCTTGGACCTGTTGGGGGTTCCCAATCGAATGCCTTGATGTTGCTGCCCTTTCCTGTGCACGTTGAGCACACCTCGACCAACATCAAGTCGAATGCACATCTGTCGGAGCAACCTGTGGGTTCAGTGAGCATTGTTCTGCCTGTGGGTTCAGTGAGCCTTGCAGTACAGGCTTCAGCGGCACCTGCGCATAATCCAAATGAGACGTATCCAACGAGGCACTCGTTGGCTCCGTCGGACCTTTGGATCGAAGATCGATCGCTCCACCGGGACGGGCGAAGCCAATAAAACCTGAGTCCTTTGGTGGTTTTTGGTCCGATCAACTCCTGAAAATGAGGTCTTTGACCTGTAGGGCAGACAGATGAAACATGGATGCTCTCGGAACAGAGCTTTTGTTCTATTTACTATGATCTACTGGTTTTCCATGAAAAAGAATGAACCATCATGATCAGACCTTGCCGACCTCTGGGGGATCTTTGCGAGGTCATCGACAACTTGACCGCCACCATTGTTTGCATCAAAATCCTTCAGAGAGTGGTGCCACACAACCAGGAGCGGTGCGCTCTGTTCGACCAGGTGATCTCAGTGGCTTCAATTATAAAGGTTCGAATCAAGCAAGCCTGGGTTTCAGCAACCCTGCTTCCATTTGCCATAGTTCCAAATTGGTAGTTCCAGAGTTTTGAGTCAGAACGCCAATCTGCAGGAACGTCCAAGAGTGCAGCTTAGTCACCGGTGCAAGTGGATGCTTCTGAGAATATTGTCACGAGAGATCTGTGTTTGAGTGGCGTCCGTTCCAGAACTGAAAGGTTGAGCCCAAACAGGCTGGAAGTACGATGAAGAGCATGTGCTGGATCATAGATCGGTTCTCATTCTATTGTGAGTGTATAATGTTACTCTGTAATGTACATAGTGGTGAAAACACACCTTTGAAACCAACATGTTGTGGTCTGTAACTCTATGACTAGCCTATGACCCTAACTGTGAGCAGAACAAAAGCCAGGACTGGCGCCATTCCTGTGGAGGCTTGGTGGTCGTCGCAGCCAATGCAGGTGGAGCATGGAGTCCGTTGCTTGGATGAGGGCGAGCAACAAAAACTATCGTAGCGGAGATGATCTTTGTCCAGGGACCCGCCGTTTGGGTATCCATGTTTGTTTGCATGAACATGGATGGCATGACCCCGACCCATTTTCTCCAACCCCTGCCGGGAGTGGACAACCCCTGCCGAACATCACTTCTCGCGTCACTGTTCACTTTGATGCCTTGGATGTTTGTGCTGTTCTGAAAAAGATTGCAAACAGACTGCATGAACAGGGGACACCGTGTTGCAACTTGGAATTGCACGAGGAATTCAACTGAACATGGTGTGAGTCGGCCGTCGGGTCTCGAATGAGTCCAGGGTTGACCGAGCACCCAGCTGATGGCTGTAGAGCACCTTTTGTGTACCAGCTCTACAAAACAGACAGAAAAGAAACAACAGAAACACACATTATAGAAACACTTTATTGTTACGTTCGTAGCAATGGCCTCCACCCTGGTAGCGTTGGCCTCCACCTAATACTGTCGCGTCCTTGTTACTAGGCAATTTGTAGAGCACCTTTTATATGGATCACTCACACGGACAATAGAGGTCATTTGTTGCGACGAACCGTGTTGTTCTTGTCTATTTTTACACGGGTTCTCGGGTGCCGGCACATGCTCATTCCAAGCAATCAGTAGATACATAACTATATTGTTATATAATGTTATATATATAATAATGGAACCCAGTCTGCACACTGACCATGAAGAAAACAATCTTTGACCGATGTTTCTCAGGTTTTTCAGTACTCAGATCATCCTTATTGCGCCTGCCATGTCGGTTTCGCCTCAGGATTGGTGACGTGACGACCACCATGCTTTGGGTGCAGCAGAAGATCTCGACCGCAGGTGACCCGGGCAGCGATGTGGCCGACGGCGAAAAGCTTGGCCATTGAGTATTTGGGTGCACAGGTCCAAAATGAGTTCAATAAAAATACAGGACACCTTTCGGATAGTGAGAGACCCTGAAACTCTCAATCCAAGTGTAATTAAACACCCGCCAAGTTGGTCCCACTGATGGACATGTTGGGGGCTGAAAGTCTGAGCCTCTCCAGTTCTATTGACTTGCTTTTGGGAAGAAGTCTTGTGGTTCAACCAAGCGACCTCGGTCTACCTCGGTCCCTTGTCCTCAGTCTCCAGCGGAGACTGAGGGTACAAGGTCCCTCTTTCTTCATCATGTTGTCGCATCTTTGAATTTGGGGCGGCCGTGACATAGCCTGCATCATTGGGGCGGTTGAAAAGAGGTCAATGTAAAGCATATATATTTCAGTCTCATGGTGTTATGGAGTGTTTGTTTCCGTCTCATTGAGTATTTGGGATAGATGGGTGTGCCAGGCATTGTGGTGTGGCTCTTCTTGCCTTCCTTTGTGGCTGGAGTGGTGCCTCTCTTCGGCATTTGGTGGCAGGCCTGGACTCCGCCGCGCAGGGTTTTCTACAGCTGTGTGGGCAACCGCCTTGGTGGCCTCCAAACATGTGCCATGGGCCACTTTTCTGGGCTCGCGAGATATTAACTGATGTAGCTTGATCACTATAGTTATCCATGTAGCTAAGGGTGTTTTTTGACATGTAAAGATTCAGGTTACACATGATTCGCTGTGTGTCATGAGGGAGAGTTTCAGGTATTCTGGAAAAGACCCTCCGACATCATAGCTTTGGGGCGACGCATGGTCAGAATTGAAGGAGTGGATGGCGTACCATGTGAAGGAGATGGTCTTGTACTTTGTCCCTTGATTCGTTCTACAACCGCTGCCCACTTCCACTTTTTCTCAGTTCCTGATTTGTCCTCCTCCATTTAGTACGTATGGTGGAGGGAAGGGCATCATCTACAAGATCCACTAAGAATAGGAACAATCAACCTGTTTTAAAAGAAGTCAGCATTCAACACCTAGGGCGGGAGGTCAGTATCCACATCGTAGAAGGAGGTACAAACCCTTCTCACACAGGTGACTCAGCTTCAGTATGCTTCAGTGGCTGATGGTTTCCCTTTTAAGGATGGTCTCGTTCCTTTCAACCGCTCACTTGGTCTAACCGCATTGGCTTTAGGTCGCTCCCCCGGTCAACAGGCCTCGCACCGTGCGAAGCACGGGCGAGCCCCGACGTGATGCCGGGCACGCCCTGCCAGGCCAAACGTTGCGCACCGAAACACGAAGGGGAAGCACCGCCGATCAACCCACCAGCCACCAGCCAGAACGAAATGGAAGTGGTGCGGGAGAAGGGCGGGGGGGTCTGTGATTTGGAGAGGTTTCGGAGAGGAACAAAAACACATTTGAAACATCAAAAACGTTTAAAACAAATAGATTCCGAAGTTGAACAAACTTTATTCTAGTCTATATAGTAAAGACAAGCGTCATAGACCGACCCGCCAAAAAGACCTGATTTTCACTGGTATGTAATGGCAAGTCTTCCTTCACCAAGCGAGACTCGCAAAACCAAGCCAGACTGTCAGACTGCTAAACGACCTGGAAAAAGCAGGATGATGATCCCCATAGAATGCCTATAGGAAGGGTGTCGATCAGGTTGGAGGCCATTGCTATTAGGTTGGATGCCATAGAATCCCTACTTTTAGGATTTTCCACGCAGTGCAGAGCATCGGATTACTTTCTTCCTGCTTTCTCTACTGAGGTGGCCAGCAGGAATAGCAAGATTGTGCTCTCAGTGGGCAGCTGGGAGAATTCTGGGGTTGGGTATAAAGTGGGTCGGATCCTCTTCTTGCTAGTAGCATGTGACAGCAATTCATTGCCAGTGATGCCACCTTGGCGATTCATTCAGTGATGCAGTGATACTCTTATTCGGTGATTCCTATAGAGTGATACAGTGATACTCACAAATGATGGACGAACAGTGTACCTCCTCCTGTCAGTGGGTCAGTACAAGCTCGCCCCTTTTTTGCTTCGGCAAACTGTCATCGAGATCCTGCGAGACCGTCTAGTGAAGACTCCCATGGCTTTTGGGCGGTCCTGAACATCCTGTATGATCGGAGCCACGGGCTACCACGGGATTGTTTAATGCCTGGTACTTCTGCCAGTGCCAGGCCTGTTTGGTGGCACTCCGCTCAAAGGACAACATGTGCTTACCAGCAGATCTAGAACGGAACACAGGATATTTGAGTGAAGAGCAACTCCATCAATGTTTCCCCAGCCAGCGTTGGTCCTGCGAATGTACTCAGGCATTCTATGCATCCTTATGGTGCCGGTGGTGAAGATGGCGCGCAGACCGGGGTCGCGGGCAAACCATTTGCGTTTTGCGTTTGCACATGAACCACGTAAGACTACACCAACACGGCCGCAACCCCAACGAAGCAAGGAAGTTGCGTCAGACATGTGTGGGTGTTCTCTAGCAACGGGAGTAGCAACGGGTACAGTACTATACTCCTTTTAAGGATACTTTCCTACTGTACTACAACCGACGACAAGTGCTATGCACAAGGAAGAAGCAAGCTTGATGGTAGCAAGGGCATGCTTCCACAGACCATCATCCTGCACAGAACAAGCCCACATAGTTTGAAGAGCACCTGATATATATACATATAAATATATATGAATTGCAATTTGTGAGCTTTGATTGCCCGGACCACCTCACCATAACATAGACATGTTTGTTTTTTTGTCCAACTCGGTGCTGCGGTTCTGCCAACTCTAGTTTTTTTGGTTGGTTTGTGTCGCTGCTAGCACCAATTTCGCATGACTAGAACACCCTATTTTCAGCTCAACAGCACTATGACTTGTTGGCTGCAGTCTCCAGTTAGACTGCCGACCGCTGACAGACATCAGTGCACGTACCTTTGGATTCCTAATGACCTTTCCGGATTGCGTTAGATTTCAGTCAAGTCAGGTTGTAGATATGTTGCCAAGCTTGGTTCGGTGATAGATTAGATTGGTAGCACCATATGTTTGTAGCTCAAGATGGATGTAATTAGCCTGCTTGTTTGTCCACAAAACATTCCAAATTCTTCAGATAATTCAGCTTCGTTGAGGAGGAATCACTGAAATTTCTTCCACTGAATCTTCCGAAATCCCAAAGGCTGGAAGTTCCTCACTTTTCCTTTTTGTTCCACTGGTGCTCTTCCAGTCCCACACCGGGTTCCCCACGTTCCGACCAACGTGGAGGTCACCGGGTTACCGCCCTACCTCGGAATGATGATGGCCTTGGGTGTTTTCTGGCTGGTGTCACTGGGCGTCCACCCGCGCGTCCGAGCGCCGTCCCAGTGGACACCGCCCCAGCCGCCGCTCGCTTCGCGAAGCGAGCGTGGGAAGGGCAATGGTTGGTTTGGGTGGTAGGAAACACATGGTGGGAGAACTACATAGAAACAACATATATTTATTAATTACTGTACTTGTCCCAACACCCCCTCTTCAGGTGGTTTCCAAAACCCCCAAACTCATGTGTTTTGCATCCAATCACCATTCCGCCTCGGGTGGTGTTGGTCTGTTGAGCTGGATCGGTTTTCGCCCACGGAGGTTCGGAGGCTTTGGGTTCGGAGGGTTCGGCGTCCTGACATCGGAGGAGTTGTTTTTACATGTCTTTACCCTTAAAAGGTCTAAACAGTTGGTTCCAAGGTAGGCAACTCTTCCATACATTATATCGATGGTTAGGCAGTTAGGCATTTGGTTGTTTTTCTTTGGGGGGTGTTCTGGTCGTCTTTCAATGTCTAAAACAATAAACCAATTTGACCAGTACCAGGTCAGAGATCGGCGACTTGGCGTCGGGCGAGGAGGAGGATGAGGAGACTGGTCGGTTGGACGAGGCCGGAGGCTTTCGAGTTTCTCTCCTTAGGTGATCGAGGGGCGTGAAGTCTCTGGGTTTCTTGGAGAATCCTTCTAGATGGAATCCTGGGACCACAACAACTTCCATGAACTACGTTTCTTTTGGTTCAGACATGTTCAGACTGAGACTGATCATAAAGTCTTAATGAGACGGAATCAACCAGAAAGCTAGCATAGCCACCGCCTGCGTACCAGCTCGTTGCTTTAGAGTCTTTAGAGCATGTTGGCAAAGTAATTGCTTAATAGGACCTTCCAAAACCTCTTTTCAACAGACGCCGTTACCTCAATCTACAACGACCCCCTGAAATAAATGGAGCCGGGATAAAACCTGTACTTCCCCTCAAAAAGATCTATTGGACGTCATAGACAAAAATCACATAGTACGTGTACAAAAAACTATATTGCTGGAGTCTGGAGTCAACTATATATATATACCTTTTAATTTATGTTCATGTCTGATCCAATCCAATCCAACCATGGGTAAGATGGAGGGACCAGCCTTTTGGGAGGTTCTTCTTGACCGACTGCGCAGGTGGTCCCGGTCAAGGAGGGCGTCCCTGCAGCGTTGAGGAACGTCGACCTGAGCAGCTTGCTGCGCCTCGGTTTTCGCGGTAAGTGGAGCGGTAAGCGGTTTTCCAGGTTTTGTGGGGTCCACAGCGAAGAGGCGTTATTTTTGTCGGTGTTTTAATGTGTCATTTCATTGTTTGGGAGAATCATCAATCCTAGAGGATTTGTGGACTTTGAGGATGTGGCTGAAAAGGCAGCTACGCTACTTGCATGTATTTGACAGACATGGCTTTTGCAGAGGCCCATCAAGCCTGAAAGGGTTCTGTGTTTTGGGTATTACTTGTGTTTGTCCGGTAAGAGGACCCAAATAGGAAAAAACAACTGATGTCCATATAAGGTTTAGATATAATACCCTGCATAGTCAACTCATTCAAACAAAAGAGCACACACCACGCCCCTTACGACTGATTTGCTCTTCTATGCCATGGAGTCACCACTGATTCAAGCTGACCATGGTTTCTGGGGGATGTGGAAGGGTGGTTTGCAGCGGATTGAATCGCAGCAAGATTGCCAATTTTGGTTTTCACATGTTTTCACCATCATCCCTTTTCACTTCGCTTTGACCAAAGGCTTTTTGCTCAGGCGGCGCGACTCCTTCAGAGTGCGCTACCTGTACCTCCGACTCTTCACACACCGCTCCGTCGCACCGCTCCGTTGGGGCGTAGAACCGTCTCCAAGGCATCCGAGGTTCCAAAGCCCAGCCTGCCATCCGACCGGACGAAGGGCGTCCAGCGTCCACACTGGGGTTTGCAGCGTCCGGACGTGACGAAGATGGTGTTTTGCATCGTTCTGGTTTGCACTGTCAGGTTCTTCACAGGTGTGCTCATGGGCGTATCAGCCTTGGAGTCGGCTGAGGCACTGGGGAAAAGGACAAGATTCATTCTCACCTGATCTAATTCTTCACTTCCCAAACCTTTCAGATAAAGCAAAGCTTGCATAAGAACCCCAACTCACCAGGCCATTGACCGGCTTTCTTCAGACATCACCATCTCCGTTCCTCCGATTTCACCTGAGAAGATTGCTAAGCGGTGGGGCGCCACGTCTTAGCTCCTGAACCAAAGTGCTCCGGCAGGTGTTGGCGAACTATTCGGAGTTCATGCGACGAGTCACCAAGGGCAGCGACATGCTCCTGGCAGCCGCCTGGCCGAACGCGGCAGGCATTCGTGGTCTCCTTTTTTCGACGTGGCACGGGAGAGCATCCGGCGTGGTGCGGTGTCATGCAGGGTGCGGTGTCTTTCAGGTATAGTTGCGTCCATTGTGCATGGGATTTTGAGATTTGCAGCGCCTGCAAGTCAGAGGCTCGAGGGTTCTGCTCGATGAACAAACAGTGACTGTGAGCTGGGAAGAATGAGATTGTTTAATTGGTATTCCCTGAGGTGTGCATGATAGAATTGGACATGTTGTTTGGTATTCCTGTTTGTAACTTTTCAGGGAACAACTTGACTTACGAAGAACTCCAGGCATGCCAATGATACCAGACTCAGGGCTTTCGGCAAAGCAATCTGAAGACTATATATGCAAAGTCCAAAGTGGGTGATCTAGTGAATTAGCAAACATTTCTTTAACATAATAGTGTTGTTTTACTTATATTGTCTTATATTGTGGCATGCTGATGCATGTTCTATCCCTTGGTCAATGATTTGAAAGCAGCATTGCCCTTGCAAGCAGGCTTGAGGTGCGACAACTGCCAAATCAACAATCGGAGATGTCTCACATGAACTCCATTTTGGCTAGAACATCAAGGCACAACTGCAAAGCAGCTCCATGTATTAACATATACTGTATATATATATATATAATGTGCTTCAGTCGATCATACAGATTGGTGGAGTGCTTCCGCCGTTTCCCCGCGATCCGCCCAGGTGCTCATAGGTGTGAGCTCGGCAGTGGTGGACAATGTGCCACTGGTGCAGGTGGGACCGGGCTGAAGCTCCGCCGGATGGAGGGATGGAGGTGTTTCAGAAACACGAGTGTAGTGGGGTGGGGGTGAAAGCCACGAAGCAACTCCCAAAAACGAAGACAAGTAGAATCGTTTTCACTTTGCACCTTGACCCGGACAACTCAGACATTACCCCCCACATGAACAGATACCTTGTACCTGTGTTCGCAGGGTATTTGGATTCTCCAAAAACTTACCGAACAGATTCAACTACTATGGGGAAATGACAGTGGAAAGGACATCAAGAACATGTGGTCAATATACAGTACTCCTTCGAGCAATTGTTTGTTTGGCATGGGAGATGCCTTTTAGGCCAGCTGGCACCTTTCCCTAGCACAGAGTAGCCAGGTGGCGCGTTGGGATGGTGGTGAGTGTCCTTCATGTTATTTGCACACGGCCAAGCTACCTGGAAGACTCAACAACAGCAAGGGCTTTGCCAATTGTTGGTTTATCCTTTCCTCCCATCGCGACTGCTCATGCTTAGGCGGGCTTGAGGTTTGGGAATGGATTAGGGCACTAAAATTACAACAATCTGTAGGGTGGTTCACGATGGAACACAATGTTCAGATGGGGGAACGCATGGGACACAAAGGCATGCATGTATTTTGTTCCCTAGTGAATGAAGGCAGAAACACACCGAACCGGACTTGCAATCATGAAGGCGTCCATCGAGATGTTTGACGACAACATGGACAGCCCCCTTTGGCAGCTATTGAGCGCTGGCACAGGCGGCAGCCTTTGCGGGTGCCGAAATGGTGATTCCAAGTGATTCCCAAGTTATATTTTCCTCTGAAATACTTGCATTCGCAAGTGCGTGTAATTTTGGGACCAGACTGCTGCTCAGAGTCCTTCATGCACGCTCATTCATTGAAGCACCTGCCAGTGTCATTTCAACTTTCAAAAAACTATTCAGAAATGATATTGTTTTGATTTCAGGGGTGTCGAGTGATCGCAAGAGGACCTTCTTGGCATAGAAAGCTTGAAGTAACGACTGTTTGAGGTATATCATCACTCTTTCCTAGGTCAAGAGTGCAAAAAAGACGATCTTATGTATAATATATATATGTATATATATATATACACAGTCACCGTCACCGGTGAATTTACAAGGGCCCTCGTACATCACCAGACCTTCTGACAGATATGTTTGCTTGTTTGGAGATCGTTTGGTCATTCTCGCCAATGGACAGGGGAAAAGGCTGTATATATATATATATATGTTACTTGCCATGTTCTACTTAAGCTTGGTAATCTTATATTGTCAACCCTGTCGCGAATCGCTGAAACCATGAGCACTTTCCCCACTTACCGATTACCTGTTTGGCCACACCAGGCGGCTCGATGTTGGCTGTGGGAAGCGTCGCAGGCGCTGCGTTGGATGGATGAGGGGTGGATCCAAATGATGTTCGAAGAGTTCAAAGATGTTGGATATCTGACCATTTTGGCGAAGAACTGGACTTATATGAACAATCAAGACTACAAACAAGAGCAACACTCACCTTTTTGAGCTTGATGACGAAGGGCGGCCTGGAACCTTTCGGAGGGAGGAGTCGCCTGGACCGCAGAAACCGTAGAAACCGATGTCGTCGATCGAGTGGAAGTGGCTTGCTTCGTTCGTTGCATCGCGACACAACACGAAGCATCGCGACACTTCGCTGGGGTATGGAAGAAGGTTCAAGGGTCACTACTGGCATGACCCCAGCGAAGGAAGAGACGTGCCTTGAGCTCTTGAAGCGTGCCAAAACTCCTATTGAATAATTGAGCTGGTCGTGGACACCAAGGTCAAGGAGAGGGAGGGAGCACCAACCATCGCCGTTCCTGTCAACACGAGTGATTCTGGCAGCAGACTCATGGCCAAGTTACCGTCACAGACGCCCGAGTCCTGGGGAGAGTTGTCGGCTTTTGCAGTGTGCCGCAAGTTGACTGCCAAAGGTGGCGCTTTGTTGAGCTTAGTTCCCTATAGCAATCAAGGTTTGATGTTGTACTGGCTGTCCTGGCTTTGACGCCGGCCCTGTTTATTGCGAATCCTCGGATCCTTGAGCTGCGCATGATCATGTTTTTTCCACTCGGATGTTATATATATATATAACGTAGTGTCCTGCTTGGCTTGTCAGGACTTAGGACTATGCTGACAAACAGGACAGTTGCTGGGTCGCGTGGGTATGTTCGAAGAATCACTGCAACATGCCGATTGAGAATCTTGAGACGTACTACTGTATCTCTTCAATATACGCCATATTCGTCCCAGGTCCTTGGGGGCTATCATCATGCTTCTTGGCACTGTCAGTCCCTTATAGTTTAGACTCAGACCTGCACCTTACACCAGCAACTCATGACTCTTCTAGTGCTCGAAGCCGTACGGGTGAAGACCTCCAATGCAAATACTGAAAGTGAACCACCGCTCTTGAGCCTGATTCCAGCGGCTATTAGAGCCAAGAATAGGGCCTTTGGACCTGAATTGACTGGATCGGGTCATACAAAAACAGACAGGTTTCCCAAATCTTGGCCACCAATCGCAGGTGTGACCCTCATGGGCTTGGAGAAGGCATGCTCCGCGTAGCGCGGATCAGCGAATCGTTTGGAGTCTCAATGACTTGTGCAAGATATGTAAGTCCACAAATTGAAAAGATAAACCTGACATATAAGGTTGGAGGCCATTGCTACTGGGTGGGAGGCCATTGCTATTGGGTTGGAGGCCATTGCTATTAGGGTGGAGGCCATCGCTATTGGGGTGGAGGCCATCGCTAGTAGGTTGGAGGCCATCGTTAGTAGGTGCCATGGCTATTGGGTTGGAGGCCATTGCTATTGGGTTGGAGGCCAATCGCTAGTAGGTTGGAGGCCATTGCTATTAGGTGCAATTGAACGGTTTTTGTTTGAAGGGTTTATTGTTTTTGCTGATCCAAGTGCAAGACGAGAGAAGCACTCATTGTGCGATGGAATGCTATCCCTCCCCGACCAACGCCAGGGTGGTTTTCAGCCATCTCTTCCAGGTTTTTGCACAGCGCTCGTGCTTTGACTTTTTGGTGGATGCCAGCAGCAAAACGAACAACTGCAGGAAATCGGGCAAGTGCCCATTACAATGAACCCTGAGCGGCCAGTTGGCACTGGATAAAGATACACATCACATTGAACCCCCTGCAGGCAGGTATTGGATTAGGTTCGATGTTCAACTGCGGCGGTTCAAGCAGTACATTGAGCTGTGAGCTCAATATATTGTATACTTGGAACTTGGATGTCTAGGTCTTGCATGGTCTTGCTAAAGTTATGAACATGTCACTTTCTTGTCCCTACCTTACATGTTTGGAATCCCTGCAAGGACAAAGTGATTTCACAATCAAGAAGGGTCGAGATAATTTGTTCATGACACGTGCCATTGAATTAGATGATGTTAGATGCCTCCAGTTATGCATCACTATAGGTTTTAGATGAGAGGATAGCACAACCTCAGATCAGCAAATTTGAGATTTACTGTATATACTTTGACTTAGCTGGGAATGACCATTCGCTGTTGAGTAGGCTTTCCATATGTTTTGTCTGATCTACTCAGCACCCACGGCGTCACGGCAGCCGACCACCACAGCACTCAGCCGACCACAAGTTGTGTCAATCCCAACCAATGCGGAGCCTCTCCAAAGTGACTATCAGACAGTAACGGTCAGCCAATTGGCAAGATAGTCATCGCTTTTTTTTTCATTTGCAGGTGGGCTTCCTGTGGTACATGAAGAGGATCTCCCCATGGGCTGCACTTGGCTTTATTTTGGGCCTGGTCACTTACCAGCTCCAACGGATGATCGCATCTGGAACGCTGAGCTGAAAGCTGAGGGAACGGCATGGTGGCCAAATCCCATATATTTTATAATTTATTCTTCCCAGGTGGATCCGGTAGTCATTTAGATTTGGAGGGTTCGGAGGTTGGGGCAAGTAGTTTAGTTGAATACATACCTCGAAGACTAGAAGAAGTACAGCCTCTTTTTGCCTTGATCCAAGATGCTAAGAATCACGCGATCCACTGGCAGGCGGCAGATGGTGCAAACGGACGCTTCTCTTTCCAGCATTGATAAGTCTAAGAAGAGCTATTAGTAGAGACGCGGAGCAGAACGGTAGAGAGGAACAGTCCCAGAGGATGGTTCTTTCCAAATTGGATCATGCAGAATAGAACTTGTATGAAGATACAAGATACACGCCTGATCGTTAGCTTGGAAATTGCATGAACATGCCCTCGTCTTTGTGGAGGAGAAGGATCTTGAAGCGATCCACCTTCCATGTCTATACTTAAAGGTAGTGTACCAGTGTTGACACCCAGTTCAAATTACTCTGGGAGCCATGCCTTTTTACACAAAGAATCCAATGAAACCTTTTTCCACACACGCTAGACTATTTGAGTTTAACATTTCTATATCTAGAATGGGAGTCAACCTGTCGGTCGGGCCTTAGGTTTTTGGATATCGAAATTGTGTCTTTTGCTCTGAGCCGCAAGGGGTCTTGAAGAGGCGTTGAACAATCCCACAAAACACTTTGGCCAAGAGAAGAGTCTAAAGCACATTTAAGATAATTTGTCGTTGTACCTCTTCCAATCTCTGCAAGAGTCAGAGTAGGGGCCGAGCAAAAGGCTAGGTGGCCCCAAGAAATGGAGGCATTGTGGGGAGGGGGTCGCAAACTACCCTATGTTGAATGCCTGAAGCTCCAAAACTTAAATGACCTAAAAGTGCGCTTCAATGGGTCCATCAAGTCGCATCACTTGACTCAACTTAATCAGTGACATTCGCTTCCGAGTATGAGCAATTATTGCCAGGGGATCCATGTAAGCAAGTATGACGTATGATCAACATTCACCACCTAAAAGAACACCATATGTGGGTCTTTGGGATTTATCTAATCAGTGGGCATGATCAGGCACTCCATTTGAGTCTGCAGTTTTCTGCTGTTCAAAGCAAGACTCCGCATCATCGGCGATGTTGTTTATTTTGACTGGCCAACTCCTCACTTGCATTCGTGGAGCATGAGCTAAGCCCATGAAGTCGACCCGTGGGCTTGCGGACGTGTTTTTCGGTGCAAGACACAGACACAACACACATCAACACACCAGGACGTGAAATATATATATATATATACAGGTGTTCTTTGAGACGAGGATTCTGTGGGTGTGAATGAATTGGACTAAGTTCCAATTTTGCAACCTTGGTGCAGTGGACTGATGCTCTGAACTGCCGAACGCGGCAAACAAAAGCTGTTCCGGGCTTTGCGGCACGAAGGATCGACGCAGGGTGTGTGGGGATTCAAAGCCTGGGAGAGCGGCCTCCAACCTAAGAGCAATGGCCTCCAACCTAAGCGGGATGGCCTCCAACCTAAGAGCAATGGCTTCCAACCCCAGAGCAATGGCTTCCAACCTAAGAGCAATGGCTTCCAACCCCAGAGTGATGGCCTCCAACCTAAGAGCAATGGCTTCCAACCCCAGAGTGAAGGCCTCCAACCTAAGAGCAATGGCTTCCAACCCCAGAGTGATGGCCTCCAACCT